GGGGTGGGGTTGGGAGCGGGCTTTACTATTGTTTGACACTAGAATATCATGTTAAATTTGTTGATTCTGCTCCCATTTCAACACACATCTAATCATTTCTAAAATTTGTTCCTTCAAATCTTGGATCTGTTGTATCACAAACTCCTCTCTATTGTGAAGTCATTATCCTTACATTATTCCTATTCTTGTTGGATGAATTATCCAAGCTCAAAGCACCTTTAGAATGTTGAATATGAAATTGTCCATGAATCACACACAAGGAATATAACATAAATGAGGAGAGAGTGAGAGAAAGAGATCAAGGTGAATAATAATAATTAGTGTTGATCAACATTAAATAATTTTATTATTCATAGAGGATATTGTACAATAGTGATACTATATTCTTACTTCTGTTTTAGAGAGGGTCTGTACTAAAATATTTCTAGTAATTTATAGGTGTTTCCTTAATTTTGAGTTGCCTCCTAGCTTGACTGACTAAGCTTAGTTAATCTAGTTCGATTGGGTCAGCTCAGTCGGCTGAGCTTGTCGTTAGGGTTTGATCGGTTGATTTAGCTTGGTTGACTCTTTTTTATCACTGGTAAGAAGATTTGGGGACTTCATTGATTGTTGAAGACACTTTATAAAACAAATCTTCCATTGGGTCCACTTCACCATGAGATAGGCTAATGCATCAAGGCAGCTTTCTTACAGTGGATGGCTCAAACGCTCTCTTGTCTCATTTCTAGTTAATGACTTACACTTGGATCATTTGATCGTCTTTTTGTCTGGCTTTTGGCTTAGTTAGTTTTGACCTAGTTGATTTGGCTCGTCCAGTTAGGTTGTTATCATGATCTCTTCATAGTAGATTTGCCTCCATCGTAATATTCTCTTCTAGACCATTAGATCTCTATAAAGTCAATGTAGACATCACTTGATGTATATTATTACTTGAAAATCATGTTCATTTATATGAAAAATAATTAAGAATATTATGCATTAAAAATCTAATGATGGGGATACATAATTTGGCACAATTTAGTTTAATTGATTTACTTTTAAAAGTCATATACAAAGATACTTTTCCATAATTGAATAAAATATTTATATAATATGATGGACATTAAGTATTGATACACCATCAATAGATTTTCATCATCCGACATAAATCTCAAAGCGTGGCATGAATCTCAAGGTAAATTTTTTAGCAAGAAATGTTTAAACTTCAATTAAAAATCATCCAGAGCACCAATTACAATAAACTTATAATAGAATAAAGTGACTCAACAAGAAGCGCTCAATGACATTAGAATTGATCTAATTTGAGTCAGATCAGGCCCATATCAAGCCATTAGCCCCTTTTATGAGCTTTTGGTCCTTAATTAAAAGGTCAAATAAATTCCAAATCCAACAAGCTTATAGTCAAATATAGTATCTCGATAAGACTGATTTAATAAGCATAAGATCGCTCAATTTTGACATTGCTAAGACACTCAAATATTTACAAAATATTGTCCAATTAAGGAAATCTCTACTGGTCATCCAATGAAGTTAACTTAATTCCTTCCTTATTTATAGGGAGAACTCTCCCAAATTCTAAAAATAAAGTCCCACCCTTTATGAAAGGTGGCTATACCTTGAACTAGAGGAAACATTGAGCTTGGAAGAGAAGAAACTGAGGTCCAATATTCTACATCAAAGGTCCCTGTAGCTGCTGACCCTCGTCGACCACCATCTACCACCCCCAAAGATGCTGTAACCATGCACCTTGAAGACGATGTAACCACGGGTTCTGCATACGGTGTAATGACACCTTGCGAAGACCGTGCAACTATGCACCCCATAATAACTGCTTACAATCTTTACACTCAGACTTCTAAAGGTCTCTCCTTCAAGCCCACAAATACAACCTATGTGACCAACTATGGCTTATGTGGTTTACAACTCATGCAATTCCCACTCTGGCCTCCATGACTTACATATGTAATTCCAGCACATGCAGTTCTCAACTCTAGCCTCAAGAGCCTAAATGACTCATAGCTCATGCAACTCCCAACTTTGACCTCTACTACCCACGAACATTATTACATCTCTCTACAATGACTTACGTGACTCACAACTCATGCATCTTCCAACACTGACCTTTGTGGTCTGCGAACGTTATTATAGGTCACAACTATGACCATGTTATGAATTATGTCCTACGTGTCTCACAACTCACGTAGTTCTCAATTTTGGCTTATGTGACTTACGAACGTTATTGTTGTTCTGTACTACAGCTTGTGTAGCCTACTGACACTTTTGAAGCGGCCATCTACAACCCGCAAGGCCAACTACTACCATGAATTCCAACTACGATATCTATGACA